GGAGCAGTAGAGAGAGGTCCTTGTAGAATTCATCCTTTATTTCTGGTGAACTGCAATCTGCCGGTGCATACGCGGATACGAAGAATAAAAATCGACGCTTTGTTCTGTAGCTGTTGACGCGTACTGAACCATCCAGACGTACGGCGCAAAGTCGGCAGTTAACCGGGATCCATTCGAGAAGTGAACGCTCGACCTTGACACTTAGCGCAATCCCAACGCCAGAAACACCGCGAGCTTCGGATGTCGAATCGCCTGACACACGGAGAGTGAAGTTTGAGGATGAGGCCGGATCTGAGGAACGGAGGGAGATGACTGAAGTAGGATCTTATATGCGTGTTTCGGAGACACAGTATACATCTAAATGGAAGATTTCAAGGGTTCTAGCTAAGGCGGCTTGTTGACCGATCGGGTAGGGTGTGCGGACATTGAGTGCGGCTAAGTCAAGAGGGGATTTTGGTTTCACAAATCTGATAGCCTATGAGTGGTTGACCTTATTAGTTGAACGCTGAGTGATATGCGGTGGGTCTCGTAAGCAGGAGGCACCTGGGAATATTCGGGATTGAGAAGAAGGACTAGACAGATGGAAAAGATGGTTTTCCAAATGAGTGCCCAAGACTTTAGGGCACGGCATACTTCGCGTTAGCCCACACCGACGAAGGGGCTTTTCTTTGGGAACCCTAACTGGAGCCTTCCACTCAAAAGTCTGACCCACAAGGCAGTGGGGCGTAAATCCAACGCGGCAGCGTGAACGGAGCACCTGCATGGGAGCTTCTAGAGACTTGCCACGCAAGACCTTTGAATTTCGATTAATTGTGTTGTTCGCTGGTGCGTTGATTATCGGTCCGCTTTTCGGGATCAGCCCTCAGCCTAATGCACCCAATGGGACAAGCGAAACGTGGACGGGACAGCACCTTATTGGCTGGGGGCTGCCCAGATTGGACGGGCGGTAGCTGCCAATGAAGTGCGAAGACTTCTCCTACCGTCGAGAGGAAGCCCCAGGTACCGCGCTCCTACGTCCATCTAGCGGGGGGTTTCGACCGGTAAACTGCCCCTCACCATGTTTATTTACTGGAGTGACCTCTCCAGGGGCGGGTGTGGACAAAAGAAAGAAGTCAGGGGGTGCCCAAGCAGTTGGCTTTGTGAGACTGAGCTTCGTCTGGCCCTACCCATTGACCTTTCAGGCATGATTGGATCTACGGCTGTGAAAAGCCGTCCTTTGTAGCTCGCAGGGTCATGGAGGCACGCAAGCCATCACACCACGTCAAGGTGCAGTCTCGCGTGATGGATAAGCGGAAGAAACATAACCATAGATACTTACCCGGTTAAGATCAATGAAAGACCCATCAGTGCCGCAGTGATCATGAACACGGTACCTCGGAAAGTACCAAGTGTGGCAGCGTAGATTGGTGGTAGAACGGAAACGCTGATTAATAAGCCGATGCGTTCGGCTAATGCGGTTAGAGCAAATCGGCGACCTATAAGGCAATTTAAAAATTGAAAAGAAGCTTTTACGTCGCGTGCAAGTGGAAGTCACAGTCCACAGTTTAAAGTAGCATATTATAAGAAAAACATAAACTTGATAAATCATTTGGCTGTTTATTTTGCAAGAAGAATAAATGCGACATCGGGATAACAAACAGGAGGTTAGAGTCCCAGCTGTTACTGAAGCCTGAGACTATTGTCATTGCTTATCGTACTAAGTAATAACTGAGTAGCGGAAGAAAAGATAATTGAATTCAGATAGTTTGAGCTATCAGCGTCTTAGCTGTAATATGACTGAGTTAATCCTCACAAACAATTCGAGGGAATAGTTTAGCTGCAGTTGTGAGTAAACCTCCTATGTCATGACCAATGGCATTAGTCCTTCACTGAGTCCTGAGTCCTTCACTGGGTCGCCGAAGTTTGTCAACGCAATTAGTCACACAAGGTTTAAGTGTGTGCGGTTCAACAGGCTGCGGAAAGGTCAAAACAGGAATGCCATGCACATATTTCCAGAAGAACTTTCACGCCGCATGCGCCAATCTATTGATAAAGAAGATGAAACAGATGCTGGCACAACAGGACTGCTTTTGGTTTTGCAGTGATTGCGTGAAAACTCAGGTTATAAAATACATGATGGGCATTGAAAATAGCTTCGAGAAGCTACTATTAGCTGCGAAGGATAGGGCTAACTTAAAAATTTTAGAATCGGAAGAAAAGATAGCTACCCTGAGCTCCCAGATCCCTCCACTGAGCCCAATCCAACGACCGGCCAAACATCCAAGATGTTCCTTAATCAGCAGTGCTCCAACGCAATGTATGACCTCTGCCGAAATAAACATGGTTTCCACTGTCACGAACAGAAAAAGGTTCTCCTTCAAACGAAACCGGTCATTTCCACACCGATACTGGGTAAAAAAGGTGGAAGCAGAACCGGTTTGACAATTATCTGCACAAATGTACCCGGACCAACAACCCAACCACTTAGAGAACGACAAGTAGAAGAGATGGTACACTGGAATAGTTTGTGCGTGCAGATAGGCATTAATGTTTTACCCGTAGGTTTCACAAGACTCATGCGCCAGCCGACGTCGCCACACGCTGGGGAACCCAGACTACTCCGGGTGACCCTGAAAGATGATAAGGACTTGGAGGACGTTCTTCTTTCTAGTTACCTT